ACGCCCAGCGCCCGGCGTGATTTTAAGCCACTGGGTCTGGGACTTAAACCGCAGTCGACTACATGGGAGTTCAGCAACATAGCCATTACGCTAATTGCTGGTCCCCCTTCCTCTTGTTCTACTCAGCTTGAGTGACTTTGTCGAAAGCCACACCCTCTCTGGGGCCCTGCTCAGGGGAGTACAGAATCTTGCCTAGTGATGCCAAGTGTCAGGCACTGTCCTGGGAACATCCCCTCTTTAACTTGTTGAACTCATGGGTCAGCTTCATGTAGAAGGTCCAGTTGTCTTCCCCTTTTTGGGAAACAGGCACAGCAGGGTAAGATAACTTGCCTAAGGATGGCAGAAGTGCATCCCAAGGCGTGCCTCCCAAAGGAGGTTTTCATCACCCAGTCATTAATTTCTAGCATGAGATTTTATTGGTGTCTTTTCTCAGTTTCCATCACCCAGTCATTCATCTCTAGCATGAGATTTTATTGGTGTCTTTTCTCTTTTTTCTTTTTCAAGTCTGAAAGTTAGTTGAGATTATGTACGGATTAAAATAGGAAACTGTGTCCAACTGGGCATTAGACCACAGCAAAGGAGGAGGAAATTGGCCTGGGCGACATGTGTCCATGGCCCCGGCTCCAGGACAGGAAGTCCCAGACTAGGCCGGGCCCTGCTGAGCGGGTCTGACGGTACTGGGCTGGCTGACCCTTCTCTCCTCTCTCCGCAGTGCTGGCTGACGCCCTGCACGTGGGCCCCAATGTGCGGCCAGCGCCCAGCCTGAGCCTCCGCCAGGGGGAGCCCTTCGAGCTGCGCTGCACCGCCTCCACCACCTCACCACTCCACACACACCTGGCACTGCTGTGGGAGGTGCACCGTGGTCCAGCCCGGCGGAGTGTGCTGGGCCTGAACCACGAGGGCCGGTTCCGCCCAGGCCCGGGCTATGAGCAGCGTTACCACAGCGGAGACGTGCGCCTGGACACGGTGGGCAGCGATGCCTACCGGCTCTCAGTGTCCCGATCTCTGTCCGCCGACCAGGGCTCCTACAGGTGTATCGTCAGTGAGTGGATTGCCGAGCAGGGTGGTGACTGGCAAGAAATCCAAGAGAAGGCTGTGGAAGTCGCCACTGTGGTGATCCAGCCAACAGGTGAGTTTCTTAGATGACATGTTAGAGACTGTATCTTACATGGTGACCAGTAATTAAAGAGCCACGGCAGGAGCCCCACCTGTTCGGACTCGAATTCCCTCTGCCAAGGATGCCTTACTGTTGGGGAGAAGGGAGGTAGGTGCTAGTCATAATCTGAGAGGGCTGCATTCGTTCTGTGCTGCAGCCTGTCGTTTTGCTGTACAGCTGCCTTTTTTTTTTTTTAAAAAGAATTATTTAATCTTATTCATCTATTTATTTTTAATTTGACCAGAGAGAGATAGAACGAGAGAATGAAACGGAGGGAATGTGAGAAAACAAGCCTCCAGGTTCAGGATTTGAACCACAGTCAGCCATGTGAGAGTCCAGCATCTTAACCATTATGCCACTGGCAGGCCCCCCTGCAGCCACTTTCATTTGAATTTGTACTTATGGAATGCTGCTCCATACACATTACACTGAGGCCGTTCTTCCACTTGAAGATTGAAAGAAAGTACAGCTGTCCTTCCACCAGGAGAAGGTCCCTTCAGCCAGCAGGAAGTCCCATGGCCTGGTATTGGTGGCAGGGCTTCAGGGTGGGTCTACCTACACTTTGCTCCCTTAGCTTTGTCTCGTTGGGTGAATCTTGAGTTCTTGGATCTGCCCTTCTCCCAGCCTGTGGGGTTGTATATCTGGCTCACCCCAAAACCTTTTGCCTCACTTGTATTCTCTAAGAGATCCTTCCTCAGATACACCATCCCATCCCATTAGCCCCCCTAAGGCTGGGCTCCTTTTTGCCTTTTTTTAAATTTAGAGGTTTTTGCTATAGGATGTGTACACTCGCTGGAGAGACAGAAAGTGAGAAATCACCCCCCTGGGGCGGGGGGGGGGCGATGACCACACCCCAGTCCCTTCTCCATTCTCCTCTCTGGAATCTTGGGTATGCACACACATGCGCCCGGCAAGAGTTTTAAGCTGCCGGGTTTAGGACTCAAACCACAGTTGACTACTTGGGAGTCCAGCAACGTAACCATTATGCCATCTGCTGGTCCAATGCTTTCCTTTATTAGGCATGCTCTGGGGACCCTGGGGTCTGCACAAAAACCCTTTGCCCTGTCATCTGTGAATCAACCTTTTTTTTTTTTTTTAAATAGAAAACATTAAAAACCCAGCCATTGTTGAATTGTCCAACAAGAACCTATTTGTGTGCTCAGCTCTGTGCTGGGCCCTGTGATCAGAGGTGCTGAGGCTTGTCCCAGGCCCTGTGGAACTTCAGACTTCAGCAGAGACAGAGTAAAGAAGCCTTCACTGCAGGGCAGTGTCCCTGCTGGGGTGGATGATGTCCTTGGTCTTGGAGCCTGACATCTTCAGAGCTGAGTCCGCTTCTGCCATTGCTGCTGCCTCCTGTTTTTTAAACTGGGAAGACCTTGCAAGGCTAGACTCATTTCCTGAGCATGAATGTGAGTGTGTGGCTACTCTGTTGCCCAGTTGGGAGGAAAGCAGGCAGCGGCACACATGGGCTGTGTTTTGGTGTGCTGCATTGTTCTGCGCATTTGCTCCACGTTCACACCTCCACACAAGTGCTGAAGCTGATAAAAGTGGGGGTTGGAAAGCAGGACGGAGGTTCTTAGATGACGGAGCAATGGGGGGGTCTTGAAGGCGCGGGCAGTGGGGGGGGGGGGCCTACCCGTCACTGTCATTCTTAGCTCCATTGGCTGCAGAAATCACTTTCCAGATGGACTCAAGTCTCCATCCTTTTCAGAAGTGATCTGTGGAATCTTCCCTAAGAAACCTCCAGATACTCGGCCTGTATCGAACAGCCATTTTTTTTTATTTTTATTTTTTTTTAATTTTCTTTCTTTCCTAAGAGAGAGCATGAGTGAGACAGACATCCTCAACATGGTCTCATGCTGCAGTCTGCCCCACCCAGCAGGCTTTCTAGCCAGCCAGAATCACTGCTGTACACAGCCGGCTTGTACAGGTCGACCTGGGACCTGAGCTGAGCCCTAGTCCTCCAAATGGCTTCCAGCATTGCAGACCATGAGATAGCACTGCACCATCACAGCTGGGCCAGAACTATTTTAATGAGGCAGAAGGGTAAATAGTTTCAGCTAGCAGCAAATTACTTTTTAGAAAAAATTTCCTAGAGAACTCATTAGAGAGAGAGAGAGAGACAAAGAAAGAAAGAAAGAAAGAAAGAAAGAAAGAGGGAAGACAAGAAGGCATCCCCCCAGAGAGGATGGCCACACTACAGTCTCTTCTCCATTTTCCTTTCAGGATTTTTGGCAAGCATTCACATGTACCTGGTGTGTTTCTTAAGTCACCGAGTCCAGGACTTGAACTACAAAGTTGGCCATGTGGGATCCAGCTACTGTAAACACCATGCCACTGGCTGGCCCTGCAAGTTACCTTTTTATGCAGGAGTTCTATCATAAAGGAGTCTTGTTTCAAAAAAATCACAAAACCTAAAATATCTGTAGGTGAACACTCTGAACCTATTCGACAGGTGAAAAGCCTGGCTGTTGGAGGAAACTGGGGTTCAAGATCATTTTTGTGCCATGTACCTCTTTTGAAACCTACAGACCCTTTCTAGACCCTTTCTCAGAGTTACCATGTTTTAATTCATAAAATACAGTACATGAGATGACAAAGGAAAACAAGTATGTTGAAATAGTTACCGGACTCTTTGTTACCAGAGAGCGCAAGCATATGCACGTAGGAGAGAGAGAATGCGCACTCCCTATTGGAGTATGGTCATGGGGCATTCCTTTTTCCTCTCTCCACCCTGACTGGATTTTGGGCACACATGAGTATGTGTTTTTTGAGCTTTCAATGCTGGGATTTGAACTGCAGTCAGCTATGGGATCTGGTTCCCTATGCACAGCACTTAACTGGGCCCCACCAGTTATTAAAATATGTTTAAAATAGGGACCACCAGGTGGCATGGAGGTTAAAGTGACTGGATCCCACTTAGCTGACTGTGGTTCAAATCCTGCACCCAGTGGCTTGAAAATCATGTTGGGCATGTGTGCCCAAAATCCTGAGAAGAGAATGGAGAAGGGATTGCGGTGTGGCCTTCCCCTCTAGGGAGTGACTCCTCACTTTCTCTTTCTCACTGTTTCTATCTATCTGATCAGTGCCTGCCACCTTTAACAAACTAAAAAAAAAAAAAAAAAAAGTATTGTAATGTGCTTCTTTATTAATGCATTAATAATAAGGTACAGTGACAGGCCTAATTATTGTAATTTCTAAGTAGCAATTAATGTAAGTGATATTTCAGGATATCTGTAATAACAATGTGATGTGAAAATATTGGTGATTTCTACTTGGGCCAAGTCCCAGGGACAGGTAATACCACACTGATTTGCCGCTCACTTTCACAGTGGGAGGAGGTGCTGTATTTCAGGTACAGGTTATAAAAATAATCGTAGGAGAGGTTTGGCAGATGCAAATCTGGGGTCTAATTTATGGATTTGGTGGGAGAAAGCCTGCACCACCACAAGCTTTGTCTGAGCTCTCCTCTTGCATTATGAATCCTTAGAACTGGTTCTTTTTTTTTTTTCCCCTTCAGCCAGCTCTATCCTGTCTCCCAGCAGTAAACCCTCAAATCTAAAATGTTTAGAACCTGTGGTTATTGATATGACAAGATATTTAGCCACTTGCACAGAGAAAATTACAAAGTAAACTACACAGTTGAAGAGACATTCCTGCCAGGATTTCTAGAATGTTAAGACCTGTTTTCTCCACTCACACAGCCACCGCTGCATGTTGAGTGCTTCTTCACTGGCCCACCCCCTCCTGTGTCGCGTCTGCCCTCCAGTAGCTGACAGCCTGTCAGAGGTGACGCCAGCCAAATTCCAGGCTCAGACCGCAAGCATGTATGAGGGCTGGCCCAAACTGCAGAGCTTGCTGGGGGGTGGCAGTTTCCACACCGAGTCCTCTAAAAGATGCTCTCAAATTGCTTTTGGCACCTTTGAAACGGGTGAGAGAGGAGGGGAAACTTGAAGGATGGGTAGAGGAGAAATTGGACTTTTAAATTCCTTTCGCTGATACTGTGCTCACCTCCCTGTCTTCTGTTAAGATGGATCTTGAACTTGGCTTTGGAAATACTCATCTGAAAGTAATTTATGCCAGATGGTGTCAACTTTTGCGTTGGGACTTTTCAGAACAGGCACCGGTCTCTGGCCCCGAGTGTACAGGGGATAACAGCTGATGCTGAGCAACTCTTGCTAGAAGGCCAGGGCTTCGCCTCCACTTTCACCCCCTGGGAGGTGTTGGCTAGATATCACTAAGTAATGGTTTCCAGAGCATTATCATGAGTTGAATGTTTTCCTCCCTGATTACAGATGTTCAACTTCGTTTTTATTTTTTTATTTTTAGTTTGCTGTAGGGCATGTGCTCTCACTGTTGTGAAAAAGAGAGGGGGGGTGGGGAAGAAAAATCACCGCCCAGAGGCGATAGTCATCCCACAATTCCCTGTCCTCCATTCACCTCCTGGGAGTTTTTGGGCACACACACACTTGCTCCCAGCTTTCTGTCAGGTCTGGGGCTTGAACCACACAGTTAGCCACAGAGGATCCAGCATTTTAACCTCTGTGCCACCTGCTGCCCCAAGATATCCTACTTCTTTTTAAAGATCCTCTAAATAGAGGGAAATATTTCCACGTTGAAGCTTTGGCAAGGGAATGCTGAACTAGGTCTGTCTGAAGTCTGTGAGCCAAATTCTTCAGTGCTTCATCTGAATACAGTCTCCTTTTAATTATCCGCACTAATGAGGAAGGGCAGAGGCGTGGATAATTCTAGTCATTGTGTTTGCATTTTAGCATACATGTTTCGTGCTTGACTTTTAGGTTGATATGTCTAATGCAATAAATGATGCTCTAAGTGCATTGCACTTTGAAGACTTGACTCATGAGAAAAATTGTCTGGTTTCACTTTCCTGGCACTTCTCTTTAGAATTTCTTCCCCTATGTCTGAAAGGCACTTTCTCCCTCGTCTCCTACCTGCCATTCCCCAGCCCCCTAAATTGATCATGCATACCGTGGAGAACTAAGCTGTCCCTTTTTTGTAAAATTACCCTAGTATTACCACTTGCAGGGGGAGAGGATCGTTTCACTTTGACCGTGTTAGACCAGTGACAGCTAACAGTTAAGAGCAGAGCTTCTGGAGGCGCACAGCCTGGATCTGAATCTCAGCTCCGTCACACGTTAACCCTGTGACCGGTGCCTTACTTCACTCGGCTCTGCTACAGTTTCCTCATCAGTAAAATGAGACCCATGATAATACCCACCTCATAGGATTGTTTGAGGATTTATTGTGTGTGTGTGTGTGTGTGTGTATGTATATATGTATATGTTTTAAGAATCATTCATTTTATTTATTTACTTATTAATTACTAAATTTGACCAGAGAGAGAGGGGGAGTGAGTGAGAGAGAAAGCGAGGAAGTGGAAAAGCAAGCTGCCAGGTCCTGGACTCAGATCACAGTTGGCCACGTGGGAGTCCACACCTTAACCACCACACTACCTGCTGACTCCTATATATGTATTTTAAAGTTTATTTATTTCTTCCATGAGTGGAGATGGGTGGGTGGGTAGAAGGAGACAGGCATCCCCAAGAGGGCCTTCAGGTTGTGATCTCACCCAAATGTCAGCCCCCCACCCCAGGATCATGGGTCATGGGCTCATGGGCGTATATCTGGCATGCACTTGGGACGTGAGCCCCCAAGACCTTCCCATATAGTCTCAGCATCACAGAAAATTGTATTACTGCTGTGCCACTACAACTGGCCAGGATTAGTATTTATAAAGCCCTCAAAACACTGCTTGTCATCATGTCTGTCAGTGTTTGCTGCTGTATCGTGTTTATGAAATAAAAAGAAATGTGCTGTTTCATTAACTCATTAAATATTTCTCGAGCACTAACTATTGTACAAAGCCTTCTAACTTGAATGCCATAAATAAGAACTTACGTGGAGATGATCTGAAGGGAGGCAGGGAGAGGTGGAAGGGACAGACTTAATCCAGATTATCTTGATGTGTTTGTTTTTCATTTTCAAGTTCTCCACGTAGCCGTGGCCGGGAATGTGTCCGTGGTGGAAGGGAAGGAACTGGACTTGTCCTGCAATATCACAACAGACCGAGCGGACGACTTGCGGCCCGAAGTGACCTGGTACTTCAGCAGGACACCTGACAGCACCTTGCCTGGTGCCCACGTGCTAGCACAACTGGACCGTGACTCCCTGGTGCATAGCTCCCCACGCATCGCTTTGAGTCATGTGGATGCACGCTCCTACCATTTACTGGTTCGAGACGTTAGCAAAGAAAATGCTGGCTACTATTTCTGCCACGTGGCTCTCTGGGCCCCCGGACACAACAGGAGCTGGCACAAAGTGGCAGAGGCCAGATCTGCCGTAGCCAATGTGGGTGTGACCTGGCTAGGTAAGTGGATTGAGAAGTGGCTCTCGGCCTCTCTGGCGTAATCCCTCTGAGATGCCTGGAGGAGCCAGGCTACTCTGCGGCGGGCATGGTTTTGGCACTCTTTGCCTTGGTTCCAGCCTCCTTTGCCTGATAGGTCCCAAGCTGGGGGTAAAAGCAAAACTGGCTGAAGTAGACTCTGGCAGGCGAGGGGAATGTTTAGATAATGTGGCCTCAGCTGTCTCAATACCCTCATTTGAGAGGATATAGTTTCTCTTTGTTGTCGAGATTTGCAGGGTCAGGGCGCTGCTGAATGCCTCTTTGAAATGGATCTTTGTTGGCGGGAGAACACTGCCATTCTTCCTTTCCTTTTCCTAGACTCCTAGGTGCTCCTTGGCAGGAGCTAGTGCTTTTCCAAAGCTCAGTATAGAGAGAGGATTCCTCCAGTTAAAGGAAAGCACTTTTTTCACCTTGGAATCTTCAAATGGTTTTATTTGCAGATACCAGTGACATGCAAGGATCTTATTTCTTCTGGTTCTTGTGGGTTCTCTCAGCCCAGGTGCTGTTCCCTGAAGAAAGAAGCAGACTGACTCTCAGATGGTGACCACCTTGTCACCTATTTGATAACAACCTGTTATATGTGCGGGGGCTTCAAAAAGTTCATGGAAAATAGCATTAGTGCCTCAGTTGACCTAGCTACTGTAGTGCAGTGACAATGCTAGCATCCTGCAGTGCCGGGAGCCATAGGGTGATCACAGCTTGAGTCCCATGTCAGCCTGAAACAGTGGATCAGATGGGCGTGTGAGCACCCAGGGCCATGAAACTCTGAAGGGCTTGGAAAAGACGCTCCTGGAGAGACGTGACTTTACCAAGGGTTATCTGTCTGTCATGCACATACTTGCAGTTTCTGTCAGAAAAAGAAAAGGGGGACAAATGCAAGTTTATTTGGTTGCAAAAACTTTTGTAATCCATGTATAATTGCCTCGTAATGTGCATTTTCCATGAACGACTTTTTTTTTTCTTAGAGAAATTTTTGCTATAGGGTGCATGTACTTGCCAGAGACACAGAAAGTGAAAAATCACACACACACACACACACACACACACACACACACACACATATACCCGCCAGGGATGCTACATCCCAGTGTCTTTTCCCCATTTTTCTCTTGGGATCTTGGGCACACACATGCCTGGCATGGGTTTGAAGCTGCCAGGTCTGGGACTCAAACCACGGTCAATTACTTGGGAGTCCAGTACCGTAACCATTATGCCATCTGCTGGTCCCTTCCATGACCTTCTTGAAGACCCTGCATCTGTGAAGATCATTTGCCTGCCCTCATTTCTACTATGTTCATTTCCTCTGATCTCTTTGTTCTTCAATATTTGCTCTGTGGGCACAGTGTACCCTAACTTTTCCTAACGTCTCATAACTGCACATGCGCTTCAGAGGGGTGGGATGGAGTGGGCATGGCGAGCTTTGCTGCCCACCTCCATGAGTACAAAGGATGGGACCAGCCTGCCAGTCAGGTTCTGCCCTGTTTGAGCTTTAGCTCTGCTGTCCCGAGTGCTTTGAGCCCTGATGAAGTCGTCTGGCATTGCTCTGATTCTTAGGAGGGAAAATAGACTTTTAAAGGTCAGGAAATCATTCCCTTCTTTGTCTGATGCTGAACATCCTCCCGCCATGACCCTCAACTCAGACTTAGCTCTTCCTTATCTTTGCATCAAGCTCTTCTCTTGGGTCAGTGGTATGTTCACTGACTGTCTCTCCACTAATAAGCCTTTATTTGGCGAAGATGGGGAATTGGCCAGTGGGAGCAGAGGGGGCAGGGAGAAGAGGGAGCAGAGTAAGCAGAAGGGACAGTCAATTCCAATGGAAACCAGGCAGGGTGTTAGTCATCCCTGTTAGCAAAGTGCTCCTTTGATTTCCGAACAGTCAAAGCAGTGGGGTTTTATCTGGTGTGTTTTTATTCCTGTCTCCCAAACCCATGCAAGAGACTCACTATGAAGTACTGAACTGGAACAATGTTGGCCCAGCTAGAACTCTCCTTAGCAACCTTCAAAATAAAACAGATGTTGTCAGCACCAAAAGAAGATTTTTCATCTCTGGGGCTGAATATGTTGCCCAGCTCTGATCCTCGGTGTATTGTGTGGTGCTGTCAAATCCCGCGCTGGCTCTCCGCTCCCCTCCCCCTCCCGTTTCTGAATACCAGCTTGAGGATATTCTTTTTTTTTTTTTTTTAAAGTGCTGCCTGCACTCCAATTTGAGGGTTTCTTTGAAGTACTCCTACAGTGATCCTGGCATACCCCGGGGGACATGCAGGGACTGTCAGACTACAGGAGGGGAGCTCTAGGAGGGAATGGGCTCTTGCAGCTAGAAGGAATTTGTTGGTGGCTGTGTTCTCCAGAGAGTGAGAAGAAATAAACCAAACCGTGCAAGAGGCTCAGTTCTCATCCTAAGGATCCTGTCGTTTACTTTCCAGCTTCATTGTTGTGAGCATCTACAGTGTGCTTTTCCCTGATGATGCTAGTGCCTATAGAACCCTGCACCTTCCCCAGTGCTTTGCACATAACAGGCACTCAATAAACATCAGATGCATGGTAAATAAGCCAGTGCCTACACACGGATTATGTTAAAATATGTGCATAGGGAAACCAGAATTGCAGGCAGCAGTAATGTTCAACTCATAGAATATTCAGAGATGTACACACAAGTAAACCTATCCAGCATGCATGTGGTATGAAAAACAGCTGCATTCTCCTTTTTCTTGAATCACCTCTTTCTGCCCTGTATCTGTGACTCACTCCGGTACAGCTCCTTGGACACTGGTCAGGGGGCAAGCAGGACGTGAGTGCAGAGGCAGCACTTTCTCCAAGATCTTCCAGGTTCTCATCCAGAAACTGATGAGCCTGTCCAGACACTAAACGTTTTCTTTAGACGTGTAATATAATGTGCATATGCGTGTGGATGCCATGTATCTACATACCTGTAGGTACAGCATGGGGCCAACCACAGGGTCAACTGTAGTTTGAATCCCAGTCCCAGCAGCTTGAAAAATACACTGGGCACTTGTGTGTACAGGTCCAAAATCCTGACAGGAAGGAGGATCTTGGTATGGCCATACCCCATGGTAGTGGTGGTGTCGGGGGGTTTTTTCTCTCTCCGGCAAGCACATATGCCTTCTGGCAATTAAAAATATTAAAAAGGACAAGAAGGCAGATGACCTGCCAAGTACTATATTTATATAATTCAGTTAAGGTTGTGTGACTGTGGAATATTGTCACAGCACATTTTAAGAAAGCTGGTTTCCCATACAGCTATGACACAAAACTCAACCTTGCTACTTGACAGCTCTCCTGGGCCAGCAGGTGGATGTGGTGGTTAGGATGCTGGGACTCCCACGTGGCCACGTGGCCAGCTGTGGTTTTAGTCTTGGACCTGGAGGCTTACTTTCTCCCCTTCCTTCTCTCTCTCTCTCTCTCTCTCTCTCTCTTTCTCTGTCTCTGTCTCTGTCTCTCTCTCTCTCTCTGGTGTGCACATGTGCCCAATGGCAAAATTTAAAATAATAATAATGAATGAAATGAAATGAAAAATTCTAAAAAAAAAAAAGTGTAATCCCCATAATAACTACCTGGCTCCTATCCCTTTCTGAAAACCACTGATTTATTTCGCTTACAACTTTCAAGGGTCAGGAATTAGGGAAGGACTCAGTGAGGTTCATTCTGAGACCCAAGGTGATCGCTGTGATGGCTAAGCTGGGAATGCCTTCCAGGTGGCTTTCTCATGCATGTGTCACCATACTCCTGTCCCACCTGCATCTCACCCTCCAGCCTCTGTCCTTGCAGCTTGTGCTGCTCATGGCTCAGTCTTCTCATGGAAGTCACTTTTTGTTTTTAATGTGGCCACCGAATTCCAAGAGTCAGGAAGTAAGATTTGCCAGATAAGTAGAAGCGACACCTGGGTAGCCCCTGTTACCTGTAGAACCTGCTGTTTTCCCACCTAGAGTTTTCTCAAGTTCAAAGGGGTTGGAGAAAGTGGGCAAGGTCACATTGCAGGTGGGAGTGGGATGAGAAATGCGGTGGCCATCTTTCGAAAATATAATCTACCATTAATAGTCATTTATTTTATTAGGTTGTCAGAAAAGTCACAAAGTATTTTTCTGTTTTTCTTTGCAAAAATGCATCATGACTTTTTTTTTTTCTTCTTCTTCTTATTATTATTTTGGAGAGGTTTTTGCTATAGGGTGCGTGTGCTCGCCAGAAAGAGAGACACAGAGAGACAGAAAGAGAGAAATCACCCCCCCAGGGGGGATGGCCACGCTGCAATCCTTTCTCCTCCATTCTCCTCTCGGGATCGTGGGCACGCACGCACATGCGCCCAGCGTGACAAGCCACCGGGTCTGGGACTCGAACCACGTTTGACTACGTGGGAGTCTAGCGACATAGCCAATATGCTAACTGCTGGTCCTGCATCATGACTTTTCTGACAACCCAGTATTTTAAGAGATTTATTGGTGGCTTGGAGAGAATTAAGGCCCAGTATTAATTCTGTCCCAAATATTGTCATCTTTTTTTTTTTTTTAAGATTTTTGCCATAGAGCATGTGCAGTCACTGGAGAGAGACAGATGAAGATAGAAAGAGAGAAAGTGAGGCATTACCTTTGGGGAGGGTAACCACACTGCAGTTTCTTTTCTTCCATTCTCCTCTTGGGACTTGGAGTACACATGCATATGTACCTGGCTTGTTTTTCAACTTGGTGTGTCTGAGACCTGAACTATAGTCACCCGTATGAAATCCAGCTCCTTAACCACTGCAGCCTTCTAGTGCTCAAATATTGTCATCATATGTGGAACTATACTTGGCCTTTTGAAATTCACCTCACTTGTGAGAGGCCTGCCACTGCTCTCGTGCCCAGCCTCCCTCCTGACTAGTGCATAAGCAGCTGTAATTTGTGAGTCCTGGGTCCAGGGAAGGAGGAGATGGCTTATGTGGAATAAAGGAGAAGAGTGCAGTTGTTTTTATA